TCCAGAGTGTTGTTCAGCATGGGGGTGAGTAGAAAATGAAGGCTAATCATGTTTTGGGTGTACTATTCCTTTAAAGGAAATCTCTAGCGTTAACACCTTGAAGATTTCTCTCTCTCTCTAGTTCTTCTTGAAAGAGATCACTCTGGCCAATCTCTTTAAATAGCACTTCATAATGAATATGTATTAAATAACCAGGAGACATGACAACAGATTTTGATAGAAATTGTAATCTTACTCAGATCAGAGAAGTTGCTTAGAGTTACAGAAGGCAGCACTTACCGTCTGTGCTCACTTCTCATGAAGCGGCCATGATTCACCGTTAGAGAATCATTTTATACAACTCCAGTCTGCCACATCATCACATCATTTCACGTTTGCAGATGTGGAAACATCCTTGGCTTCAGCCATTTCAAAATATTACACTTTGTTCTTAGCTGAAGGACGCCGCTCTCATTCCCTTCCCAAATCTTTGCCCCGGACCGAATGACAGACAGAGGAACTGTCCTAATTAGTTAAACTACTTGGGAAAACATTAGTTCTGACATGCAGCAGATAAGTGATATAAGGGTGTTATAAAATCAAACATCATTAGTGATAATTATCCTAACAATTTAGCTCTACAAACTATTTCTAGGACCAGTGGAAATCTGTCGTTTACAGATATGAACCATAAACAGTGGATTGCCTTCAACTTTACAGTGTTGACTCTTCTTTCATCTAAGAAGCAGCAGATAAGTCAGAATTCTTTTTACCTAGTTTTATGTTGGATGATGATTGTTTTATTGGTTTTTATCTAGTGGAGGGTTCCATGAAATTTCATTGTATTTACTTTCTATGCCAAGGTCAAATTCTGTTGTTTAAAAGAGCAGATGTCACGGGTGAATTTCCAGTTGTGAGATCCATAAACTTCAATCCATTCTAACTAAGAGGATGTGGTCAGACTGAAGGTGTATTTAGACTAACTGAGCTTGTTTTATTTACCAAAAAAAAAAACTGTCTTCCCATGTAGAGCTGTGACACTTACCAAAAAAATAAAGAAGTTTTAAAAAGTATGGAAGTGGGCTGAATAGAAATGCAAAACACTTTTCAGATTCCTATTAGTTGAAGGTTATTAAATAAAACATAATATTTTGGTTATCAATAATGTAGTTGTATGTGTTGTCCTGCTCAATGGTGTAACGACATGGATATACTGCTGTAAATATTCTGCTGTAAAATCAGTCTTATTGGGCTAGATTATCGCTCTCTCCATTCATCTCCTTCACTCACTGTAGCAGCAACGTCGGTTCTTTTAAGAAACGTGTTTATTTTGGGAAGTTTTTTCCGTTCTTCCAGCAGTTCTTCTTTGCTTTTTCTTTTCTGGAATCTGCTTAAGTACCTCTGTTTGATAGCCATCGTCGCTAACACATTGTATGTAACGGTTATGGTTTTAATCTACGCTCTAGATTACCCATAATTCCAAGCCGTAGTGTAAAAAATAAAATACTCAAATTCTTTTAAGATCTTTATTGCGGTTTAAAAAATATTATATGAGTGTATTTTTACCAACCGTCTAATAAACTATACACAGTTATTAACATAGTAATTATAAGTACCACTGTCTGCTTTGCTATTGGTGTCGTGTGTAAATCTGCCATGCATGAAACAAGCAGAACACTATGGCAATAGCCCTACTGCTCCACTTGTGAAAGTAAATTCTGTTGGGCTCTTTTTGGCATCAAGACTATCATTGTTATTGTCACGTTGCCAGACAAGACATTGTTAAAAAAAAAAAAAAAGAAATCTGACATGTGTTAGGGTATAAATAAGGTCCGGTCAGTCAACCTAGTATCAGGTGGGTTTAAGAGGAATTTTTCACACCATTACATCTGCAAAGAGACGTCCTAGTCCACAATTGTGTAGGGGGCCAACCAGGTGTCAGTGACGGGGCCCCTAAGCAACTGCATACAAATAATTGGAATCAGGTTTTTTGGTAGCAGCAAAAGATAATTCACAATCATGCTAACTCTAAAATATTTCAGTTCTAGGGTTTAAGTTGATGTGAGGATGCGTCTGAGGTCCCCTGTTTACTTTTTTGTTGAGTGTTTCATCAAAAAGAGCACAATTCTAAACCAGGCTGCCATCAGTTTTAATGATGCAGTTAATTTATGCAGTTAATCTAATGCATGAAGAGGAATGTTTAAAAACTATAGGGGTGCTCACCATCTTTAGGAATATTCTAATTTATTTATTGAAGACAGCAACTGTGAAAACTCATAATGATTCATCCCAGCTTTGATAAAAATTACGTATCTGTTTTTTTTTTTATAAATGAGAGCTACATTTAGAACAAAAAAATAAATAAGTAATCTTGTCAGCTTTTCATTACGAAACGTTTTTATTTATTTATTTATTTTTTGTCTGTGCTGTTCCTCACAGACAAATCAAAAATGTGCATTTGAAGAGAATTAATTCATTGATGATATTTGATGAATAAAAAAAAAATACATGTAAACATTCATCACACAGCGTTACCACAAAACATAAATATAGTATTTATATAGTTAAGATAGCCTTTGTATTATTAAAAAAAAATCAAATGCATGGTGCAGAGAAATGTGTATTTCATAAATCTATTTATCAGAGGGTGTAGGGATTTACACTGACCTCCGTTAAGTGATGCTGCTCCGTTATGTCGTGCGGTCCTTTTGATCTATGGACGCCATGGGTGCGCGCGGGTTGCTGTTGTTACTCCGCCGCCATGTTCCTGTTCAGTCTACCGAGCCGCTATCTAGGCGTCCTGTCCTGGTCCTCTGTCGTCCAGAGGTTGCATGTGACAGAGCGAGGCCAGGAGCCTCGGAGCCTTTCTCTTCTAGCTTTCTGAACCGCCGCACCGCCTGCTGGTGCAGGACAGAATGACAAGCGGCCGCTCAGGGAGCCCGTTCCATTTCAGGGGGTTTTTCAAAATAAAACAATGTTGCGCAACGAGTGGAGCTGTAGAGATAGGTCAGGACTGCAATCAGGCCGATTGCATGACCCACTTATATAGAAAACAACACACACAGAAAGAAAAGCGTTGCATGCAAGAGGTTAATCAGGGTTGTTGGATTGAAACCCATCCTTTACTCCAATAACATTTTCCTTCACATTCTGGGAGCTGCACAAAATAGTTAGCAGTATTTTTTATTATTATTTTGTTTTTTGTGTTGTTTGTTTTTATTTAGCTGAAACCAAGAATATAAGCAATCAACCTCTGTGCTTTGCCATGTTTGTTTGGACCTCCATGTTATCTTTACAGATAAGAGGAGTGTTTCAAACTACAGGTTCTCAAGCCTTTCAGGAAAAATTTATATTTTTCAATTAGATACATTTTGGGTTTGGGCTCCCCTACAAGCACCTAGCGTTAATTTTAAGTCAAGACTCTCTGTTATGATCACATTTTCTTGTTGTGCAGATAATTATCACTGGTGCAGTAAGAAAAACCTTTGATTGATTTTAGGGCACCACTTTATTTAGGGCAGGGGTCTTCAACGTTTTCCAGGCCAAGGACCCCCAAACTGATGGCGAGATGGAGCTGGGACCCCCTAATTAAATATATTGTATGAAATTGTGTTATATCAAACTTGTTCTATAGTCACTCTATTACAGATGGAGTAATGTAACGAAAGTAATTTTCTCCCTGGGATTATTAATGTATTTCTAATTCTGATTCCTTTGTTGATGGGACATGTGTTGTGAATGAAACGGTGCCCAGCTTAAAAGAGCTCCTGTGTGTCACTGAATGTGTGGATTGATGACTGAAAGACATCTTCTCCCTCCATTTATCTGTTTACCACAGTGTGTTGAATTCATGTTAATGTGGATTTAAAGACAGGGGGGAATATTAAAAACTACTTCTCATGCATAGTTTGCTTACTTTATAAAATAACAATGAAAAGTCACAGTCATCCAGTCATTCTTATATGATCAAATTTCACAGGTTGAAAATGTTTCCCCCTCTTCATACGAATTTTTTCATTTCCAGCCTTGCAGTTCTATCATGCAAAGTGAACTTACACGCACCCACACACATTTTAGTATCTATCTATCTATCTATCTATCTATCTATCTATCTATCTATCTATCTATCT